AAGGTGCAGGATTTTACATCATTTGTCGCTTTTTTCTTCTGAATACTTTAATATTACTTCAAAATGAAAGAAAAGTATTTCTATAAAATATGTCAGTCCTTTCAAGCAAATTTTTATCATTTTAAATACTTTTTTTTTTTTTAATCATGTACCTTCATCAACAGTTCAAAGATGGAATAACACAAGATATGATGAAATACATCCATTTATTGACATGATTTTCAGGTCTTTGAAATTTGGGAAATAATTTGTTTCCATGTTTCATACATGGTCTGTTTAAAAACATATGGAACTTTAGAACCAAAAATGGTACAGAAAAAAAAGGTCAACAGTTTCATAAACTAGAGTACATATGTATCTGTTCAATACATTTTTATATCAGATGCATTCACTTGAATTTTTGGCCTTGTTGTTTACTTCTGCTTGACCGGGTCCAAAGGATGTAGATCAGGGGTGTCAAACATACGGCCCGGGGGCCAGATCCGGCCCTCCGAGACCTTTAATTTGGCCTTCGGATGATTTTCTACAAAAATATTTTAATGATATTTTCTATTAAAATCTTGTTAATTTTCTGTGGTGTTTATCACAGCAGTGTCTCCAGCGTCTCTGTACGTGGCCCCTCCCACCAGAGCAGCACAAATGAAGACTTGTCTGTTTCCAAACGCTCTTAAAGGACGATCGTTTTGACTGTTGACCCTGACACCCTCATCAGAAAAATGTCCAACATGAGAAAAGTGGAGCCGAGTGCAGGATTTTACAACAAAAATTAACTTATTCCTATTTACATACAAGTTCATGTTAAAACATTGTGTTGAAATTGTATTTTTCTTGAAGTTTCAGGTTGTTCATAATATTATACATATATTTTGTAAAAAAAAAACTTTAAAAAGAGGTCCTCAATTAAAAAAGATTTCTGTAATAAATTTGCGTTTCTCTGCACAAATATTTGAACTTATTGCTATTTTTGGGTTTATATGCCTTTGGGGTTTTTTTCGGCCCCTTTGGGATTAAAGTAGTTTGGATACAGCCCCTGGACCAAAATGAGTTTGACACCCATGATGTATATGTTATGGAGCAAATAACTGCAAGTTTACAAATGAAGATTTATTCATGGACAAATGGTCTTCAGTTCAGGCCTGTATTTCAAATGGATGATGATTGTTTGTAGTATTTTCTGATTTGTTGTAGTGTGTGTGTTGTATATTATGAATGATAAATGAGGAGACTGTGTGTATAACTGTATCTACACTGTAACTTTATTGTCATTTTACTTGTGTTGCATTTTTACTGCTGTTTCATAATTATGTGGCTTGCACCAAAATTATTTAATAAAAATAAGTTAAAAAATAATAATAAATAAATAAAATAAAAACCTTGAATGAGAGATGGCGTCTGAACTCTTGACTCGTCGTGTTTTCGTGCTTTCGACTTTTGGACTTTTGGGGCCGGTGCGGTGATGAGAAAACAGGCTGAGTTCTTGCCGTCCACACGTTTCCTGAGGAGATACCGATGAGCCCATGGTATTTCCTGATTTGAACGGAAAGAACCAGGAAACGGCAAAAGATGTGTTTGTTTGGAGGATCAGGCAGGAGCAGAGTCACTGATATCAAAACAAACAAAACCAAGGAACTGGAAAAATATAAAACAACGTCGTGGCCTGTAAACAGTGTTGGGAAGTTTACTTTTCAAATGTAATCCCCTACAGATTACAGATTACATACACCAAAATGTAGTTTGTAACGTAATCCATTAAATGACTTAAAGTGAGTAATGTAATCTGAATACGTTGGATTACTTGATTTGCTGTAGAGAAAGCAAAGACGAGGAAATCTTCACCTAAGATGTTTTGTCTGATAAAAGAAAATAAAAAGTCCAGACTTTACTGAACCAAATTAAAAATATTATTGATAGAAGACGAGGAGACACGTCCACACAGCAGGATTTAGTCCTGTTTTAGACCTGGTTTGGACCTGGATTTAGACCTAGTTTAGACCTGGTTTAGACCTGGTTTAGTCCTGGTTTAGACCTGGTTTAGACCTGGTTTAGTCCTGGTTTAGACCTGGTTTAGTTTTTAGACCTGGTTTAGTCCTGGTTTAGACCTGGTTTAGACCTGGTTTAGTCCTTTTTAGACTGGTTTAGTCCTGGTTTAGTTTCCTGGTTTAGTCCTGGTTTAGTCCCTGGTTTAGTCCTGGTTTAGACCTGGTTTAGTCCTGGTTTAGACCTGGTTTAGACCTGTTTAGTCCTGGGTTTTAGTCCTGGTTTAGACCTGGTTTAGTCCTGGTTTAGACCTGGTTTAGTCCTGGTTTAGACCTGGTTTAGACCTGGTTTAGTCCTGGTTTAGTCCTGGTTTAGACCTGGTTTAGACCTGGTTTAGTCCTGGTTTAGACCTGCTTTAGTCCTGGTTTAGTTTCTGGTTTAGTCCTGGTTTAGTTTCTGGTTTAGTCCCTGGTTTTAGACCTGGTTTTAGACCTGCTTTAGTCCTGGTTTAGTTTCTGGTTTAGTCCTGGTTTAGTTTCTGGTTTAGTCCTGGTTTAGACCTGGTTTAGTCTTGGTTTAGACCTGATTTAGTCCTGGTTTAGACCTGGTTTTAGTCCTGGTTTAGTTTAGACCTGGTTTAGACCTGGTTTAGACCTGGTTAGACCTGGTTTAGTCCTGGTTTAGACCTGGTTTAGTCCTGGTTTAGTCCTGATTTAGTCCTGGTTTAGTCCTGGTTTAGACCTGGTTTTAGTCCTGGTTTAGTTCTGGTTTAGTCTTGGTTTAGACCTGATTTAGTCCTGGTTTAATCCTGGTTTAGACTTGGTTTAGTTCTGGTTTAGTCCTGGTTTAATCCTGATTTAGTCCTGGTTTAGACTTGGTTTAGTCCTGGTTTAGACCTGGTTTAGTCCTGGTTTAGTCCTGGTTTAATCCTGGTTTAGTCCTGGTTTAATCCTGGTTTTAGACTTGTTTAGTTCTGGTTTAGTCCTGGTTTAGTCCTGGTTTAGTCCTGGTTTAGACCTGGTTTAGTCCTGGTTTAGTTGGTTTAGTCTTGGTTTAGACCTGATTTAGTCCTGTTTAGTGTTTAATCCTGGTTTACCTTGGTTTAGACCTGGTTTAGTGGTTTAGTTCTGGTTAGTCCTGGTTTAGTTTTAGTCCTGTTTTAGTTTTAGTCCTGGTTTAGTCCTGGTTTAGTCCTGTGGTTTAATCCTGGTTTTAGATCCTGGTTAGACTTGGTTTAGTTCTGTTTAGTCCTGGTTTAATCCTGATTTAGTCCTGGTTTAGACTTGGTTTAGTTCTGGTTTAGACCATTTATGACAGTGCGTCTTATAATCCAGAGCATATATATATATATATATATATATATATATATATATAGTGAAAATACAGTATTCACATTATCGTCAGCTGCAAAACAGATACTAAATTTCCTTGACTTTTCCAAAACATTCATTGAATTTACAAAATTCCAGGACATTAATGCTCGTCGTCGTTGTTCGCCTTTGAGTTTTTGTCTTTCTTCCCTTGATAATCATGGATAATTTCTTCATGTTTGTCCTTTGTGGAGCTTGTTCTTGGAGAAAACGACACACATTTACACAGATATTTTGCCATTTAAAAAAAACAAAAACAAAACATTAACCAGAAGTTCTGCAAACCTACAGCTGTTCCACTTCAGACTGTTGTGAAAAACGTCTCTCGATAAGATAAAATATTGAACCCACGATGTTATCAACAGGGACAAGTCCATGTGGGAGTTTGACATAATCACACGAAGAATCTGAAAACCACAAACTGATTCTCTGCTGCTGACGTCATCAAACATTCTCTGGGGGTGTGATGCTAATTGGAGGCACCGCTCTGTCTGAAGATCTCACACTTAAGTTTTATTTTAACAAGAACTAAATCAAACTCCTAAACAGAATCATGAACGCTCCGACTGATCACAGGCTCCTAAAAATCCGCTCTTTAAGCTCTTCAAGAGTTTTCAGACGATCTAAAGACTTTTTACTAGTTAATGTTAATGTTTGCTTCGTGTCACCATGGTAACTAACGAACATTTGGCAATAGAATACAGAGAAACACCCCTCCAGCGGGATGTCACTGCAAAGTATCAACAAGCCACGAACTTTTCTGAAATTTCACACCAGGGACAGACCCGGGTCAGGATGGTCGGTAAAAGTAAAACGGTGAAAACAGTGTGTAACTTTCTCTGTTCTCATGTGAGGTGGTGTAGAGACTTTTTTTTTCCCCTTATGGTCATTTTCAAACTCGGTTTTCTGTATTTTTGATTGATTGATTGAATTTATATAGCGCCTTTCAAGATCCCCAAAGCGCTTTACAGATCATTATTCAGTCACTCCACACTCAGTGGTGTAAACTACTACTGTAGCCACAGCTGCCCTGGGGCAGACTGACGGAAGCGAGGCTGCCAATCTGCACCATCGGTCCCTCCGACCAGCACCATCACTCACACACACACATCACTTTCATACAAGGCAATGTGGGTGAAGTGTCTTTCCTAAAAACACAATGACAGTCTTTTGCCACTGGCGCCTCCTGTGGCACCTGGAATTCCCAGTGTCTCCATCCAAGTCCTGCCCAGGCCCAGCCTGATGAGCTCCTGAGATCTGACGAGATCAGGCTTTAACAAGCCGGTGTGGCCGAACAAATACTAATTTATGCTCCTCTTTACACTGTAAACCCAAATTAGTAATCATTACTAAAACCGCGCGTGGTAAGTGATTGCACTGGGATGTCTAGTTTTTACAATATCAAAAACTAAACAAATCAAGCTCTGTTTACATAAAGTCTTCTGTCCAAGATAACCCATTACTAAAGAACTTAAGTTTCTAAAACTAATGTTTACAAGTAATTAACTAACCATTACTTGTGTATTACAGTAATCATTACTTATTTTTATCAGTATGTATTTCTGATATTTATGAGTATTTATTGAATATGTTTATTATAATAATTAGATGCAAATTATACATCATATTATTTTTTTAATAATTGACATAAAATGACAATTTTTTTCTCACAAATTTATTGCAAAAATAGTGCAATAATAACATGCTTAAACCTGAATAAAGTGCAGTCTTCTGTTTGTTCCCTGTAACAGCATTTGCTTTTGTGTTTTACATTTCACAATTCAAACAAGGGGTTATAAGGGTTGTCAGCTTGTCCATAACAATTTCACCCTCAATGATGATTTTCAGGCTTGCTGGGTGAAGATCTGGTGTTGGAAGAGAGACACCTTCAGATTTACTAACAAGATCCAAATGTCCATTTGGCGAAAGGATTCATCACCATCCTAAAGAAAACAAAAAACATTAATGCCAGAAACATAACCATTAGTGAATGAAATTACTGAACTACAACAGACTCAATAAGAATGACAAAACATAAATTGTATGAAATTCAATTTATGCTGACATGATAACTGATAAATGTTCAAACAAATATTTGAAAATCAATAATAATCTGACTTTAAGATAAATAATATTCATGGAATGGCTGAAGCTCGTAATGTATAGACTACTTGTCAGTTTTGGCATATTCAAATTATACAATAAATGTCACATTCTAAAAGTTTCACATTACAAACAAAATGTACACTTACAAAGCTAGATTTGAAGAATTCGGTGGGACTGTCTCCGAGTAAGTAAGGAAGACCTCTTAGTGTGACTGTCCTTTTTTCAGTAGAATCCAGTGACTGTAAGACAGAAAATGGATACTGTATGATAAATTAAAAGAAATATACAGAGACGCAAACACTTTTGTAAATATACATTTAACCATTAAAATGAACTATGTATTTTAATAAAAAATTAATTATCTTTTTATCCATTTTAGATTAACTATGTTATGAACTTATGCTTTTACTGCACATGTATTTTTATCCGGGTTACAAAAGTTTTACCTGTATTTGCTGCAAAAGCTGTGCCAACTGTCACCCACGCTGCCCCTCTTAGCTTTAAAACTTTCAATAAAATGGGTAGTGTGGTTATCAAGGGCAGAATAAAATTCCTGGTGCAGGTCTTTTCCCACAATCCTTTTGAATTCCAGACAAATCTAAAAAAAAAAAAAAAAAAAAAAAAGAAAAGAAAATTAGTGTTCTGTAGTGTCTGAGGTAGTAACTTCTCTTATCACAGCTGAACTCACAGTATTTACAGCTCCACAGCCTGTTGGGTAGTCACCTGTAAAACACAAAATATGTTTTAGTGTTTAATTCCAACCAAAGCTTTTATGCAATTTTGTGGTGATAATCTAAAAACTTGAACTCCAAACTCTCCATTTGCACCCACGATTTTAGATTTTAGAACAATCATATAGCAAACAACGAAAACGAGTCTCGATTAAAAAAAAGGCGCGGTGCACACGGTGTACGTGAGAAGACACGGCGCCCGTGAGAAGTTCTATGGGTCCATGCGTCGTTAAACCGCCACCCGCCCGAATTTGATTAAAATAGTATTTTTCGTCGCGTCATCCGCCCGAGCCGCGGTTTAGCCGCGGAGTCCGCCCTCCGCGCATCTCTACCGGGCCGGTAAAGATGCCGGTAGTACCGGCTCAGACACCGTTAACTGTTAGCATTAGCTGTTCTCTGTTAGCGGCTAACAGATGATAACGAGCGCATCGTGACCACAAGTTCACTTCACTTTAGTCTTATTTGGCTGCAAGCGTCAACCAATGTCACCAACTATTCAGTCTCACGGGAACAGAAACCATATTTATTCACTTACCATATGATGATAAAGCAGACTGACGCTGAATTGAAGCCAACAGTCCGAGCAGAAGTCAGATGTGGTTTGGTGCAGTTTGGGATTGTTCAGGTGCTAAGCACCTCCCTTCACCGGTAAAAACATACAAGTGTGAGCGTCTCCACTCAGAGCCATGAGTACAGCAAATACTAGTTTAAAATAGTTTACAATTCACACTTTGTTTAGTAATGGTCCCGCCTTTTGCAAAATATTAAAAAGATTAGTAATATTAGCATGGCTTAATATGTAAAAGAAAATTTGGGTTTACAGTGTACTGCTGGCAGAAATCAGACTGACAAAAACTGGGACATCTGGTTTAGTCCTGGTTTAGACCTGATTTAGTCCTGGTTTAGACCTAATTTAAACCTGGTTTAGTCCTGGTTTAGTCCTAGTTTAGTCCTGGTTTAGACCTAATTTAGACCTGGTTTAGTCCCAGTTTAGACCCGGTTTAGACCTGATTCTGTCCTGGTTTAGACCTGATTTAGTAATTTCTTGTATAAAACTGGGAAAAATCGCTGGTATCTTTGTTGAATTGGCAAAGGTAATTAACCTAGTAGTAGTAGTAGTAGTAGTAGTAGTAGTAGTAGTAGTAGTAGTATTTTAGTAGTTTATGATAAAAGAGTCAGTTGTTTCTGTTCTTCTGTCGCTGCTGTTGAAGCTTAAACAGATAATAAAAACTCTTCTCTCCGATAAAAAGTGAAAAAAAGAGAAAAAAAAAGAGAAAAAGAGGAGGGATTTCCCGTTCCCTTCACTTTTTCCTGGGCTCCATCCTCCGGTCGAGGTTGGAGGTGGGGTGGAGGAGGTGGGGTGGAGGTGGTGGGGGTGGTCCGGGGGGAGGGCCGCGCATTCCAGCGTCAGCCCGGGCTTCCTGCGTCTCACCCCGGGCCCCTCTCCTCCGCCAAACCCCGCGGCCCCCATGTCCCGCACTCTCCCCGCGACGACGACACCGCTCCTCCGTCCGCCCCGGCGCCGACCATGAAGCCCCCGCCGCCGGCACCGACCACCGCCGCTATCACCACCACCACCACCGGGGCCCCACGTCTCCGCGCTTCCTGTGGCCGACGACAAGCTCCCGTCGGCGGGTAGCGACTCTGGCCGAGCGGCGCTGTCGTCGGAAGTCCGAGGAGAAGCGGCGTTTCGGTCGTTTTCTTTTTTTTTGTTTTTTTTGGGTTTTTTTCTTCGAGGGAAACCAGCGCAAAAACCCCGAAGAATGTGGACGTACAGCTGCTAACACGGAAGGATTTTGGTTTTGCAAAGGAAAAAGAGGTAAATCTAACTTTTCCGCAACTTTTCTTCCACGTCGTTTTGCGCTTTTTTCGCTCGCCGGTTCATTCTTTCTGCACAGCTGTAGCGGCTACATTAAAGATGGCAACTTTTTCAGGGTATTTTCTGCAGGTTTTCGTCCACTTTCTAACCTCGAAAACGCCGAAACTGGCCCCGTGCGAGGTTTATTTCGTGAAATATCGAGCAGGAAGAAAGGATTAGTCATCGTGAGACTGTTTAGGTCTTTACTGTAAACAAACGTGGACAGTTTCAGATCTGGACTAAACCAAAGTATGACAAAGATTAACCCCAGGAATGAAACTGGAATAAACAGAAACTCAGCCAGGGCCAGGCACTAGACATTTTTTCACAGATTTTCATCTAACAGTTTTTTTGGACCATACCAGAACTAAACCAGGATTTACTTGGACTTAAACTTGTAAAAAAAAAATCCAGAATTTAACCGCTTCTATTCCACCATTTTCTACTGTTTTAATGTTGTTTCTTCATTAAAACAAACCTGATGTTGTGTTTAGTTTTTTTTGTTTTTTTTTATTAGTCGCTTTAGTTCTTGTCTCGAACTGAAAACACTCTGTTCCACCTTGTGATGTCACGCGGTCATACAGGAAGTGCTCTGTTGTGTTTTTAAACTCCACACACCTAGTCGTGGTTTAGACCAGATATAGTCCTAATTTAAACCTGGTTTAGACCTGATATAGTCTTAGTTTGGACCTGGTTTAGTCCTTATATAGTCCAAGTTTAGACCTGGTTTAGTTCTTGTTTAGACCTGGTTAGTTCTTTTAGTCTGGTTTAGTCCTGGTTTAGTCCTGGTTTAGTCCTTGTTTAATCCTTGTTTAGTCCTTGTTTAGTCCTGGTTTAGTCCTGGTTTAGTCCTGGTTTAGACCTGGTTTAGTCCTGGTTTAGTCCTTGTTTAGTCCTTGTTTAGTCCTTGTTTAGTCCTGGTTTAGTCCTGGTTTAGTCCTGGTTTAGATCTGATACAGTCTTAGTTTAGACCTGGTTTAGTCCTGGTTTAAACCTGGTTTAGTCCTGGTTTAGTCCTGGTTTAGTCCTTGTTTAGTCCTGGTTTAGTCCTGGTTTAGTCCTGGTTTAGTCCTGGTTTAGATCTGATACAGTCTTAGTTTAGACCTGGTTTAGTCCTGGTTTAAACCTGGTTTAGATCTGAAATAGTCTTAGTTTGGACCTGGTTTAGTCCTGATATAGTCCTGGTTTAAACCAGATTTAAACTTCACTAGAATCATTTGGATCATTTCAGACCAGGAACTGTCGATCTCGACTGAAATAAAGATAAAAGCAGCTTGAGAACTACAGCTTCATGACATCACAAGGTGGAACAGAGCGTTTTGAGTTTTGGAGATGTAAACAGACAAATAATAAAGAAACAAAACACAACTCCGTTTTTTTTTTTTTTTGAGCATTTAACAACATTAAAACATTAAAACATGACTTAAAGCTCAAAAAACAGTAAATTTTGCGTCATAAAGGACCTTTAATGTCAACATATTTAATACTATAATTCTGCATTTGAGGTTTTAATCTTATCTCTCCTCATTTTTTACTTTTTAGGATTTTCAAAAGTATCAAAATTCAGATACTGAATTGATTCTAATACTAATATCAAAACTGTACAATCATTTAAGCAGATATTGATACTGAAAAAAACGAAACAAAACACATTACTGAATAAAATTTGACCTGAAAATTACAATATTGTTTAGAAAAGACCTTTAAAATGAGACACTTCTGGTCTTTACTATCGAAATCAAGCCATAGTTTAGCCTTTGTTTTTCACTGAATCGTATCGAATCGATTTGAAATATATCGTATCGAATTGTATTGAATCTAAAGTGCACTGTATCGAAAAATGTATTGTATCGTGGCCTATGTATCGTATCGGCAACTTCTTAATGATACCCAACCAAGTCAAAAGTATCAAAAATCAGATACTGAATCGATTCTAAAACTAGTATCAGTATTAGTATTTAGTATAGAAGTTTATAACTTCGATACTAGTTTTAATATCAATTAAGTATCTGATTTTTGATACTTTTGACAACCCTAAAAAGTAATAGTAAGTAGGAATGTGCAAAAATATTGAAATATCGATATATTGTTTTGTTTAATGTGATGATACAGTATTGATATCATGGGCTGCTGTATCGATATATCTCCAAGAGTATTTTTTTTGTATATTTTACTTCATTATTTTCTTACTGCGCTACAGTTTTGTTGCTTGTTTAGTGGAAGGAACATTTTTTAAGCGACACATTAGACACTTTCACTGTTTTGTTGATTAAAATGTTTGTGTTTCATATGAACTTTGCACAAGACGTGGTTTAACAAAGACTTTTAGACTACGTTTAGACTGCAGCCTGAAGTGACCCAAATCAGATTTTTTGGCCCCTATGTGAACTGTATCTGATCTTTTAATGACAGTCTGAAATATTTTTTCAAATGTGACCCAGGACACTTGGATCTGTGCTCCTGAAACTGATACATATCTGATCTTTTGACATGTGACTTCAGTGTGAACGGTCAAAGCGCATTCATCCACCTACACGTTATCAACAAGACACAAACGTACACAAACGTTTTTCTCGTCAAACGAAAATTGTCACTCTTGGCTCCGTCTCCACATCCACACGTTCCTTTCAACGTTCTGTCCCACAAAACACCACGACCAAAAACCTCGTCCTTCTCCTTCTCAATCTCCTCCTTAAAACAAGTAAGTTGTTCATGTTCTGGCTCTGGTACGAGAGGAACTTTAAAATCTCCATGTTTGCGTCCATGTTTGGACAACTTCTGTAAACACAGAGACGCTCGCTGTGGTTGACGTCGTCGTGTCTCCAGTGTCACATGTGGGACACTTTTGGGCCGTTTACTGTTCACACTGGAGTCACATACAAGTCACATTTAACTGGAAATGTGAACAACCTCCCAAAAACGTCGGATTTCACAAAAAAATCTGAATTGAGCGTTAAGCCCTGCAGTCTGAACGTAGACTTAGTATCACAGACATGATTTAGACTTTATTTTTTATTGCACCACATCAAATCGATTTGAAATATATCGTATCGAATCAAAACTGTACTGTATCAAGATATGTATCGGCAACTTCTTAAAGGCACACAGCTCTAAGAGTAAGAGTTAGGTAATAATATAAAAAGTGAGAAAAGATAAGACTAAAATCTCAAATGCAGAATTATTATATTAAATATGTTGACATTAAAGGTCCTATATTACTTTTTTGTTGTTGTTAGCTTCTCAAAAACAGACCTGGAGTTGTGTTTTGTTTCATTCTCACACTTTATTATTAGTCTGTTTACATCTCCAAAGCTCAGAATGCTCTGTTCCACCTTGTGATGTCATGAAGTGGTAGTTTTCAAGGCTCTTTTTACCTTTTTAGTTCAGTAAAGTTTGGAAAATTCCGGGTCCGAAATCATCCAAATGATTCGGTGGAGTTTAAAAACACAGTGGAGCACTCTTTGTTTTGCTTTTGACAGAAGATCTCAGCCTAAATCTGCAGAGTTTGTGAGTTAAACATGAAGCAAAACACTCCAGGTCTGTTTTTAATGAAGAAACGACATTATAACCAATCAGAAAACAGCCTTTTAACGTAAAATCTTCACTTTTTGGACTTTCCTGGCTGCGGTTTAGTTCTGGTCTGGTTCTGCGAAGGACCTGCCCGAGTTTTTTTGGATGGGTTTCCAGGCTGTGAGGAGGTCCCCCGGGGTCCACAGTCATGCTAGAAAGTTTAGCAGCCTCAGTAACGACATGCACAGAGAGCGGACGGAGGACGAGCGCGCGGTTTGACCTCTTCACGCTCAAAGAATCCAATGAATTTTAGTCATTTTATTTAAATTTGATGCTTGTTCTGCCACGATACTAAAATTTCAACTTGATGACGATAAAAAACACTCTTTCTTTAGGCAATAGAATGAGATTTTCGCGTAACTTTTTGTTTGTGCGTCCGTCAGCTGCTTGTTTTTATGCATACATCATTGCTCTGCCTGGAATGTTCCACAGTGTGACTTTAAACAGCTCATACTCAAATGTGTGAATGAAAAAAAAAAAAAACCCACAAGTCCAGGTCGGTTTTTGACGAGGAAACAAGATTATAACGTGACTTAAAAAGCTCAAGAGTCAGTTTTGTCTGTTGTCCTTAAATCTGTGTGTCGTTTTTCAAAATAAAATCAAAAATAAGAAAATGAAAAAAACATATAATGATTTGGGTTTTTTTTTTCAGTTTTTGATTTTGTGTTTAAATGAAAAATGGAAAAATACGGAAAACGGACTAAACTAGGACTGAACCAGGACTAAAACCGGGGCCAGAGCAGGACTGAATCTGGGACCAGGACTGAGACCGGGCACAAGACTGTGATTGAGGCCGGGACCGAGGCCGGGATCGAGGCCGGGACCAGGACCGAGACCGGAACTGAGACTGGGACCAGACCAGGACTGAAAACGGTTTAGTCCTGCTTTAGTCCTGGTTTAGTTCTGGTTTAGTCCTGTTTTAGTCCTGGTTTAGTCCTGGTTTAGTCCTGGTTTAGTCCTGGTTTAGTTCTGGTTTAGTCCTGTTTTAGTCCTGTTTTAGTTCTGGTTTTGTCCTGTTTTAGTTCTGGTTTAGTCCTGGTTTAGTTCTGGTTTAGTTCTGGTTTAGTCCTGGTTTAGTTCTGGTTTAGTCCTGGTTTAGTTCTGGTTTAGTCCTGGTTTAGTCCTGTTTTAGTCCGTTATCTGTTTTTTCCATTTTTAATTTAAACACAAAATCAAAAACTGAAAAAAAAAAAATCATTATCTGTTTTTCCATTTTAGTTTTGGAGACAAATAATGAAGAAAATTGTAGTTTTTTTCTTTTCTTATTTTTGCTTTTATTTTGAAAAACGAGTAAACGAATCACACACAGATCGTCATTGTCCTTCCATATGTAAAAAATCTGCTGTTTTCTGCTCATAACGTCGATTTTCTTTTTAATTTTCCGTGTAAAA